ATCTTTTAAAATCTTGTGACCAGAATGAAAAATTAGCTGACATACCAATTCAATTTAAGGATCCAATTTACGGTACTCAGGAACCCAGTTTCACCGATTTCGTGGCACCTGGAGTAATTTTAACGTAAGTAAAAATCAATTTATCAGATTATCGATATAGAATTCAAAAAAATAACTCAGAAGATATTTAGAAGTATATTTTTCTTGCAGCATTGTCTTTTTCTTGGCGGTAGCTCTTACTTCTTCCATTTTAATCATCGAAAGAATGGAAGGTCTTTTAGATAGAAGCTGGGTAGCTGGTGTTTTACCTGCAGAAATCATTTTTTCTCATGTGATTACCCAATTTGTGGTGATGTGCGGTCAAACTGCATTAGTGCTAATCGTCATGCTTGTTGCCTTCACTGTCGAATGTCAGGGACAAGTCGGTTGGGTAATAGTTTTGACAATTCTTCAAGGTCTTTGTGGCATGTGCTTCGGTAAGTTTAAATAATAATCTTTCATGAGTAATTTCTAACTATAATAAAAATAATATTTAATGTTAATTAAAATTATTATACAACAATATTTATTATTACAATTAACTATATAACAATTAACAATATTACTAATTATGGAAAAAATAAATTATTCTTCATATTCTTTTTATTGCTTTCAGGGTTTGTAATTTCAGCAATTTGCGAACTTGAAAGGAATGCAATTCAGCTTGCTTTAGGCAGTTTCTATCCTACACTTCTATTAAGTGGTATGTATGTTATAAATTGAGAATACAATTCACAAGATAAATTCGGAGCAAGAAAATGCGATTAATAATATAACAAAATGTTTTCTTCAAATCAAATTATCTTGTTTCTTGTCTTAAAAAATATTGTGTTTGTAAATATGTTTTACTTACATTATATATTAATTATTTATTATTTACTTATTCAATTCTAGGTGTGATTTGGCCAATAGAAGGTATGCCATCGTTCTTGCGACGTATATCGCAGGCTCTTCCTTTAACAATGGCCACGACAGCGCTGCGTGCTATGTTAACACGAGGTTGGGATATGGGAGAAATGGACGTTTATTTGGGTTTTATTTCAACCATCAGTTGGATAATCCTGTTCCTTACGATAAGCATATTGGTGCTCAAATTTAAGCGCGGGTAGATTCAAATACGCTTTATCCAAGCGTTTGAAAATCGTCATCGCTACGTGAAAAAAATAAAACAAATTAAAAACATGTCGGTTCGGCTGAAACAATCTTGATCAGCCACTGTTGGAAACCTAAAGCGGAAATCGCTTTAACAGCTTTCTCGAGACGATCTCGTTGCGGCCTCCGTGTATAAATTTTCAGATATGATATGCTCCTTATGCGCTTAATATCCCTTGAATGTAAATTGTATGAAAGAACGAATGAGTGTTTAAAGTGTGTTTGATCCTTGGGGACTTTTTTCCTTTTATCCCTTCTTTTTTATTTAGTGCAACATCTGTAATATAATATGTATCTTTAAGGATGCATTTTACCAAGGATATTTACAAGAAGTATTCATCGTCTCGTTTAAATTGACCTACGAGAACACTGTACAGTATATTTGGCGATGAACGAGACGATTTTTACTTATATCCGATACAACGTGCCCTCGTAAATTGTAAATGGGATTGTGAGTAGTAACTGGTTAAGTTAATGAGTAGTGAATTAGATGTAGGAGAGTCCTACTTGCCCATGACTTAAATGTATGTTTTATTTATCTTGTAACGTGATGAGAAACGACGCGATTAAAAAAGACGGAAAACGAAAAAATGATATATAAAAGTAAAATGGAAATACGTTTAACGTGTAACGTAATATTTTGTATAAAGATCAACATTGACCGATATATAATTAGAATAATTAATATGCGCTAGTATGCAATTCGATTTTAAGACATAAAATATGTACCATATTGTAGCATATGAATTATATTTTATATATTATCGATATTTTTAACGGGCGATTTGATTCTCTTATACAGAGAATACATAAAAAAGATTTATAAAAAAAAAAAAAAAGAAAGAATACACAGATGCAATTTATATTTCCATTTTCCATTCTATTTTCTGTATAAAAAATATTTGCAAAAAATAAAAAAATATTTCGGTGTCTATCTTGTATTTCGCTATTAACTATTCCAACAATTGCATATGCAATCCTTCATTGTCGTAAATTAATTCTAGTTATTTAATCAACGTTAATTTGTATTTTTCTTCCTCAATGAACCACTCTTGATTCTCTTCAACAACATGCTTCCAATACTCTGAAACATAATTTCAGTGACACAATTTGCATTCACGTTAGCAAGATATTCAAAGTAAAAAAATATACCACTTAATTCTTTAACTGTTCCATTCGTACCGCCATATTCTTTTGGTAATATATTTTTCGGCAAAGTTTCATGTAATTTTAATTTATCTCGTGAATGAACATGAACTCTCTGTTTCAATTTTGTATTCATAAAACTTCTAAATATGTTTAATACTGTATTCACGAATCTATGAGCATTAATAAAATCCAACGAATAAATTCTAACAGGGTAACAACCTTGCCATGCATGAACTAAATTTCTAATAACATTCGGCGGTAATTGGAGAACATGCTCATATGTGATATTGTCTAAATCCAAGATACTCGTTATACCATATATTGTTACTGATTCGTGATCTCGTAATGCTATATCCAAAATCATTAATGAAGCCTAATACGAAAAAAAAATCTTTTTATTTATATATAGCCACAATTTTTTATTTCTTGTACACAAAGTTAAGATTATATTGCGACAATGAATTTTAAAAAATAATTATATTGCTTATTTTTTTCAATTACATAGTTTAATTAATATTATTAAAATATTTTTGTTATTCAAAGTTAATTGTTATTCAAACCTTCAACATATCTGATATTTTATGTCTACTGGGAGAATGCGCAGCTACGCGTATTATCACAATCATTCTGCCTTGGTTATCTAATTTTCTCAAAGGTAAAAACACCCTGGAAAATCAGATTTAAAAAAACAATTTTTTCTTACGTCATATATTAATAAATAATGTATTTTTTAATTATATATTCTACGTTATTAATGTTTAAAGAAATTAATTATAATTGATTTATTGAATTAAAACTGAAATAATAGTCAATTACAAAATGCATTTTATCAAATGTAAATATGATATCAGTATTAAATGCAATCTTATGTTTTCGAAAAGATGATAAATTATTGAACATGATAACAAATAATGATATTGAGTATTCATAAATAAATTTATTCATAAACATTTGTATAAATTAAGATACTATAAAAAAATAATATATCAGATTTATAAATATTATTATTATTTTAAAAATATATAAAATATTTTTTTTGTAAATTTTTGTAAATATTACCCTAAATTAAACAGTTCTTGTAACTCTGGTAAAAAGGGATTCCTGTTACTATACCATTCAGGAAGATTTGCTCTCTGCTTATAATAATTCCAAAGTTTAGACTTTGTTTTCTCGACATTAAATTTGCATGCTCTTAAGAAACGAAGAATGAAAAAATCATCTATGAAAATACAAAATATAATATACATACATATATACAATTTTTTAACTGAAATACAAGATAATAAAATTATATTTAAATTTAGAATAAATTTCGAACCTGTAGGCGCATATAAATCGTTATTTTGTATTATCCATTGTCTTATTTCAGCAATTTTAATTGGTCTAATTTCATCAGTTTCATTTAAATTAGCCGCCAAATATATTTTCTCCTCCGAAGACAGTTGACAAGTATATTTATTTAATGTCGACATGATATAATAAAATTTTTATTTTTGACAAATTACATTTGTTAATGTCACCAAAAAACACACCAATAATTAAATTTTTATATTTAAAATAACACTGAATTCTTTGATATTGAATTATAAAACGTAACATGAAATAACAAATATTACAATTTCGCGATATCATTTATCATGATCTCAACATCGAATGTCGGTAGAAAGCTAAATAAATCGTAATTGCGCTGATCTACAACGCAAGTATAAAATGAATTGGAGACATCTGTCGGAATATTCGCAGTATTTCTATATATAATACAAGATAAAATATTCTGAACTTTGATCGTTAGCTGAAAATAAATCAAAACAAGGCACAGAATAAATCTAAAGTCCAATACATTTTCTATTTCCTGTTTTATAGAACTATATATATAATAATAATAATTTTATTTAATGTCAAAAAAAATACTAAACTAATATATAAAATAAATTTTAATTTTATGTTAATAATTTTATTATTCTTTAATATTTTATTATTCTAAATATTAATATTAAAATAAAATTTAATTTTATAATCAATAGAATAAACAAAAAAGATAATAAAATTATCGAAGCCTTTTGAATGCATAAACAAATAGTAAAACAAATTTAGACAAAGAAAGTAAATAATGAAAAAAGGACAGAGATAATTGATTTATTGTTGAGTATAAAAATATTGAAATCAGTGTTATCTCTAAAATGTCACAAATGAAACAAAAAAAAAGATAAAAAATAGCAAGAGAAAAATAGATAGTAAATAAGAATTGATCCTTAGTACCATCTCTCGAATAAAATATTTTCATTTAATAGAAAGATAAAGTAGGATAAGAATTGACTGTTAGTACCATCTTTTGAATATTTTCAGAAAAATATTCCTATTTTCAAAGACACTCAAAAGATGGCGTTAACAGTCCATTATTATTTTATTTCTATCTTTCTCCGATTATTTTCTATTTTTTTTTTTTGTGTTTCATTTGCGACATTCTAAAAATGGCGCTGATTTCAATATTTTGCTTCCCCTATCTTTTTTTTTCTTTTATAATTTACTTTACTTGTCTATATATAGTTTTCATTCACATTAATGATAATTTCTTGCGTTTAAATTACAAAATACAATTTAAAATTATTCAAAAATGCTTTTATTTGTATACTAAATATTAATATTTATTGCTAAGAAGATAATATTTTCGTTAGCTATGTATTAGCACTATTGCATATTCCTTTATCAAAACGTACTTTTTTTGTTCTTTCTAATTCCTAATATAAAAGAAAAAGCAAGATTAAAAAATTTTAAAATTTTAAAATTCAAGTATTTAAATTAAAATAATATTTACTTCTGTTTTACGCAACATCATTCGTTGAAACTTATTGAACTTATATTGAAGCATTTTCAGATTATCTACTTCAGATTCCAACAATATTTTCATCAATTTTTCAGTACTATGCAATAAAATATTCTTTTGTTTACAATATTTTCGAAAACCACATTCTAGCTTTAACTTCATTTCAACGCGTTGATTTGATAACGTGTTAATTTCATTTTGTATCTGATTAACCTCTTCTTCTAAATTAATTGACACTTTTTCGTAACATAAAAGATTTTGTTCAATTGTTCTTTCAATTTCACATACATTATCTTTTTTTTCTAAATCTTCTAATTCTAAAACTTGTCGAACTTGTCGGTATTTGTTTAATTCATCACGCGCATCATCTACACTTCTCTTTGACTAGGAAGGAATAATTTAAAAAAATTAAGAAAAATTCTAAATAAAGTTTTGTTAAATATTATTATTTTTAATTAATTTGTTAAATAATAAAAAAATAATAAAATTGCAATGCACCTGGAAATAACTATCAATTGTATCTATAAATTTTTGTCGAACTATAGCAAAAGTCTTCTCGTTTTTAACAAATTTGTCCATAATTTTTGCATATTCTACATTCTCTTTTAAGAAAGAATGAAACAATTGTCGAACCTTTATTAATGTGCATAAATCAGTAATATATGAAAATTTTTAAGAAAAATATATTGAAATGAAAACAGTCTAACCGCCTGTATATTCTGGATATCAATTTTCTCGATATTAATTTTAGTCACCATTATATGTTTGGGTTGTTTTAAACTTTCATCAAGAGTAGGTTCTTTCATAAAGGGACCTATAGTTACACCTTCCGCTATTGAACGATAAATTTATTCATTAATATTCAATAAAATTAATATTTAATAATTAAATAGAAATATTAATCTACTGAGTATCTTTAAAGTTCCAACTTCTTTTTCTACTTCTTTTTCATCTTCTTCCATATAATCAATAGGTTTTAAGAAAGGACTCTTAATTTGTGTCTGGTCATTGATTTCATCGGTAGATAATAGAGTTTTCTAGCATTTTTTTATTCAAAATAAAAATATAATGGTTTAAATTTATTAATTTATTAAAAATGTAATATTTAATTAATAATACCTTGAGTAAAGTTGCTGTTGAACTTTCCGGCACGATTTTGATTAAATTTTCATACGTCTCTTTTAATTTTTCAACTTCAACTTCCTTGGCGGTTAATCTAACGATTCATTTATTTAGAAATTGAATCTAAAACTATCCTATACATAACACAGATTATGCAACCTGTTATATAAATCCTTGATACACTTTAACAATACTTGGGCCTGGGACATACTAAACAGCGTGAAGTCCGAAATCTTGTCGTTTAAAAAATTAAAAATACTCCGGTTAATTTGTTCCATCCGAGACTTGGAAATATTCATTAGCGCTTCTTGATTTAAAATCAAGTTGTTCAACATCAGTTCCTTCTTCAAAGCATTAACTTCGTTCTGAAGTTTATATATAATCAAATCCGTTTCATATTTAATATCTTTTTTTATCCTGATTGGTTTTAACTTTGCAATTTTTGCGGTGAGTCGTAAAGTTGATAGTGTGATGTCGAGATCCTCTTCCGTGATTCGAATATGAGATATAAACCTATTACAATTACATTATGAGTCATATTATAGTAAATTTAATAATTTAAATTCTATTATACAATCATGAATTTCCTTTTAATAACCGAATTATAGATGAAACTGAAAAAGCATTTCCTAAAATCTTGAACAAATTATTGGAGCGTGATATATTAATAGTGGCTGGACTTTCTATATGTGAAAAGAATTGCTCCAACTGAGTTTTCATTAAATTCGCCATACCAATATCTGTCGCTGTTTTCCAACAACTATTCTTTCCTACTGTTCCTGTACCAGCTGTTTCCACAATATGTATCTAACATGTTAATTAAATTTTTAATTAAAGAGGAACAAAACCAATTAATTCGAAATCTTATTATCTCCAATTTCACGCTTTAAAAAACTCGTAGAGATACAAATAATATAACGAATAATTACTTTGGCTGTCGTTACAATACCCCATGATGTTATTAAACTAAGATTAGATACATGAAAAGTAATCACAGACATGGATAAGTGAGAGGCTGGATAAGTCGATCCTATTGCAATCGATCTCCTAATTTCTCCTTCAAAGATTTTTTTCAGACATTCATTTTCATTATCCACAGGTATCATGGAGATTTCCTACAATTTCTCTGACTGAGAAATACTCATCGAATATCCTTCCTTAATCTTTTCTTTCTCTTTTTAATATCTTATATCTTTTAATACCTTGAACGGTTCTCGCTCGTTTATCTTGACTTTGTTATTATCCGTAGAGAGTAACAAATCTTTCGTTTCTTTTCCATAAATCTCAATGAAGCTTATACAGTATTCTATTTTGTTGGCTTTTTTTCTTTTCGCCTTTTCAGCAAACATTTGGGTCAAAAGTCGCGGGACCAGGCCTCTGTGCTGAGAAAAAGGATGTAATCGCTGTCTTTGCAATATAAAAACTTAAAATTGAAAATATATTCCGCATAATCGTACTTCCCAGTTGTTTCGGAGACCGCTCATAGTAAAGCTCTTCCCAGAACCTGTTTGTCCGTAGCCCATTAAAATACAATTCACACCATCTAAAATTCTTAAATCGTGATTCTTCGATTATATCAACTTTTACATTTCCAATCGATACCATTATTCGATACCGTTCGAAACTTCCTTTTCTTTTTAAAAAAAAAACATCGTTAACTCGGTAACATATATCAAAAAGTTTCGAACGATATCGATCAAAGAGAAAATATATTTTTTTCCTTACTTTGATACAAGATCCTCGGTTGTGACACGGTACACTTCTTCTTGTGAACTGTTATAAAAAATTTCATCCGCTTGAAAACACCAGTAAGATGGTTTTTTTGGTATAGCTATTCTATTGGGTTGCATTTCTTGTAGATATCGTATGAAAATCTTCTAAATAACATAAAAACAAAATTATCCCTTTTTAATATGAAGAGAGAGAAATGGACTCAGACAGAAGAGAAATTTCATTTACCTTGCGATTCATGTCGATTTTTGCGCACGATTCACAGAATCTCTCGAAAGGGAAAATTCTAATAAAGATCTTTATATTTTTCTCAGTGATGCTCGCATTATCGTTATTAGTCATCCTTGGAAGGAAAAACCAATTTGTTTCGATCTGTTGTGTTAATGGCTGTTTATAAACTTTTTGTTGCGAACTTCGTGCGAAGTTGTGAGAGATTAAAGATTTTTTTCTGGACATTCATTTTTTCGGCGAGGGAATTCCTATTTTTTTGGTTGGTGCAACATCTTGTAGGGTTGATTTGAATAACCCTAACGAATGGAGATAGTCAATTACGTGTTTTGATGAATATAGAATATACAAGAAATGATATGATCATGCGTGTGTAACTTCACTTTTCTGAAATTTTTCAAAAGCGAGAATTTGCGCGCATAATACATAGAGTTATATTGAAAATATATAAAAAAAAAAAAAAATATGCATTTCTAATTCTTACTTACATCGAATACGCACTATTTCTTAATATACAGAATCTTATACTTTATTTATATATTATTTATATTTTATGAAAAACGCGATAAATTTTAGAAAATTGTCAACTTGATGCAATCAATATTGAGTCTTTTATTTTGTGATAATTCAATACAAATCACACATTGTGCCATTAGAAAAAGCAAATCGTATATAATTCTGTGAAAAAGAACATAACTTTTTTTTAACGCATACAATTGTAAATTAACAATATATTTCTTACTTAGCGAGAAAAAAACTCAAATTGATTTAAAAATATTATTAAACCGCGAAAGTAAAAATAGATGGTTTCTTCCACTAAATTAAATTAATTAATGTTGCACTTAACTAAATTTCATATTTTTTTGTTTTTTAATCATTTCTACTGCTTATCCTTTATCAAAAACTTATAAATTGTTAAATATAAAATCATTTATATTGTATAAAATTACTGTCAACTGTTCAAAACGCATATTATATAAATACATAAGATTAAAGAAATATCAATCAACGAGTGATTGCATTCAAATTGTCAGTTCTGTGTTTCATTGGTAACGAATTAATAATAATAATAATAATAATAATAATAAAAAAAAAAAAAACTACACTTATGCTGTATTATATTCTTTTTTTTTTACATCTCGTTTAAGGGTCGTTAACTATATAAAATCCAAAGTGTATGAGAACGGAACGAATAATCAAACTTACCACATGCTTAAACAATCGTATCATCGTAATGTACGTTGTAAAAACATATCGATCGTTCCTTTCAATTCAATAAAAGGATGAAATTCCATTAATTAAATACCACCTTTTCTATCACATTTCGCTTTACGAAACAACTAGCAAAGACGCCTCTTGGGTTCGTACCAACATCGAACGCACAAATTTTAGTGCAGCAGAATATTCGTAATCTAAACAAAGATGTAATCAACACTGCATAAATCGTTCTCTCATCGCAAAAAATCTTTTCTTTCTTTTCCTTCTTTTCATACACGCTCTCCTTTTTGCTAACCGTTTTCATACACAAAACGATATACATATATATCTACGCAAATATTCTTTATATTTTTTTTCTCAAATCTTTATTTCCTGTTCAATTAACGAATAATAATTGTTATCGATAAATACTATCCAAGCTATACCTACTAGACTATCGCTGATAGAAACGCATTAGAAATGGTATAAAATGGACATTATCTTATTTCCTCAACAACGCTAAATATATAACCATATTATTTTTTCTTTTTTTTCTTTTCTTTTTTTTTTTTTTTTTTTTTTTTTAAGCATTTTTTTAAGCATATAATTGCATATGACTTACACAATAATACGGCGTTCAATAAGTACACCGTAAGTTAAGTTTCTTTCGGGCAGGGAAGAATAGAATAAAAAGTGCTAATATTAAATTGTGGTAATCGAAATAATATGTTGTGTGTTTTGTTAGGCTCGATCGACCCTTTTTTCTTGGCTTTTCAGTCTTTCTAGCGGCTCGAAATAGACCAACCCTATACTCCGTATTCTCGCAAACTCCAACGCAGCAATCCTGACTTTCGTGTACTGGTCTTTTTTTTTTCACTCGATGGTCACGCTGGTCGTTATCGATCCCCGCCTGGACAACCAAACCCTAAAACAACCGTGCAACAAGAGTTTTAAAAGCATTCTGATCGTTATCATGCTTTTAAAGAAAAAGATTTAGATATGTTGTCAAACAGTTTCTCTTACCCCAAGCCAGCTCCAACCAAAACGGATAGAATATTCGTGATAACAAGAGTATAAAGGACTTCTTTTGAGAACAATCCAATTTTTCCCACTTTCGTTGTACGAATGCTATAAGATTTTCTTTTATTCATTCCCTGAGGATGCTTGAATTTCCAATCTCTAAAGTGAAATATAGAAAAATCGATAAATACCTTGTTGTACACGATCAAAAGATCTATTTATCTTACGATTGAGGTATTAAAAATAGCAAATTCTCATACTTCGGTGGTGCTTGATCCGGACGCGAACTCCATTCATAGATCCAATCGGTGTTCTTCTCCAGAAATTCGGATTCCTGCACATATAAAAAAAAAAACAATATTAAGGAATCTGTTTAATCCTCTTTAAAAAAAAAGAAAAAAATACTCTTATGAAAAGCATCGTCCGTCTTGACTACGTAATCCGATTTAATCCGATTTAAAAATGTTTAAACGGTGCACATGGATCCAGTATCGTCGAGTGAAATTGAAGATACACGTATTCCTACGTCAATTGAAATCGCGGATCAATTTACCAGGCGGCCGTTTTTACACGAACAACATAAAGGAATGGCTGGTTTTTCATTACACGACCTATCTAATTCATCGAGACCAAAATGATCGATGCAAAAATTATCAAGATCAAGATTTCTATCACGCGATGAAAACTCGATATAATCGTTGTAAATCAATTTTGAATGTATTAACAAATATTGAAATATCCTGAAACAAATGTGAATCATTTTTTCATTGTTCCATTCTTTTCCATTATTGAGGAAAAAAAAAATTGAAATGAATTTTTAAAATAATGTCTCTATGTCCATGCCTCTTAACAAATACAATCTATTATTCGAATATCTATTGTGAAACTCGAATACTCGAGTAATTTTAATTTAAAACTTGCAACGAATGAAACATGTAATTATTCAAAGATAAAATGCACATATATTTTTTATCTATGAACAATGTAAAAAATATTCAAGAATAATTTGATTTGACAATCAACCAATCAAGATACGAGTAATGATCATCGTATCATTTGATTATATATAACATACGATATATTTATATATAGATTACGTCTTATCAAATAAAACGTATACGTATTTATAAACAATTCTGTGTTTTAAAGAGAAAAATTGATTATTATATACGCATATATAGGTTTCAATGAATCATGTAATGAATTTAATCAAATTATTATTTACAGTAATCTTCATGATATCGAAATCGTACTATGAATTTATTTTTATTGATTAATTATTATATCAATGATATTTTTTTATAATAATAATAATAATTTTTTTCAGAAGAAGAGGAGAGAATCGGAATATACATTTTTTGCCTAACGATATAATATTCATGAATATAAATAATATTCATAAATATATTGATAGATTCGTCAATCAATAAATAAAATAACGAAAAAATATAATATATTGATGTGATAATAAATAATAAATAATTTCAATATGATATTATCATAAATAACCACACGTAACTAGCGGAATTTTAAAAATATATCCCTTCTCATACTTGTATGACTCACGCGAGACAATATATATATATGTCACTATAGTAATTACAACATATATGTAAAATTATGAAAATATAATATAACATAAATACAAATATTTTTCTCTCGTTATCCATGATCTAATTTATCCATACCATTTGCCAAGATCGTCAACTGAACATACGTTCTTGAAATAGTGTTTTGAGTAATGCGTAGTTAATCTCGACTACGAGTACGTACGATTCTTCTCGAATCCGAATTCATGCTCGAAAACGTCCGAACGAAATTCGGTGTCATAAATTTTCATAAATAGTTCCATAACGAAAAAAATCTAAAAATTAAAACTAAAAAATTAAAATCGCTATTATTAAATCATTTTTATTGGTTCCATAATCTAAATTTTGACTAATTTAGAAGGATCTCTACTACTCAAAATATAAAAATGTACAAAAAACGAGGATGTTAAAAAAGAGAACAATTGTGTTGTATATAATCATATAAAATCGAATATAAAAAGAAGGAATATATATATAGAAAGAAGAATTCTAAACACAGCAAAATATATATTACAGGAGTGCTAGGAGCATAAGTCTCAGAGTTCAATGCACTTAGAATAAACATTGCAACGTGCAAGCAAACCAAGGACTCATGAATAAGTCTAACTAGGTTGCGACTAACGAAGAATAGCTTTAAAAGGATTTTCCTCGGTTGATTTCATCGTACGTGTCAATCTTCCCACACACGACTAGACGAAACTGATGACTGATAATTAGTTCAAGGTAATAGATGCGAATTTATAAAATGCTCTATTTTTTTTTTGTAAATACTGCGAAAATTCTAAAAAAATTTGCAATTTATTTATATATTATATTTATTTATATTTATTTATATATTAATAATATAATTGCCAATCCATGTTATCTAGAAAGAACTCGAATCATCTTTGATCATCGTTTACAAAAAATAGGCGAAGAAAAAAAAATATCCCTGCTTTTAAAATGAAGAACGTAATCCACATGTGCAAATATCCGCTTTTCGAATTTCCAATATATAATTTAAAAATCAATCTTCTCCGCTTCGACTGTAATAGTTTCTCGAAAGTAGAGCACGTAGAGTATGACGAAATAAAAGACCGTAATAAAATTACGCATCAAAATTCAATTTTAAGGAGGTTACGACATCTCGAGACGCAAAAAAAAACTATTGTAAAATACGATCCAAGAAAACTAGGTCATGCATGTTTTGTCTTGAAGAAATGGCGACTGTCTAGCGACTATTAGCCAATTCCGACGAATTCATTTCTTTATCGCGCATGAAGTTAATATTGCATCTCGGCATGGTTTCGAATTGGTTTACCATTCGACCGCTAACGACTCAGTTGAAAAGTGGCCTGGCGTGCTTCATCTCGCTCTTTTCAAACCGCAATTGGCCGCAAGTTTCTTTCTTCTTCGGTACGTCCCTTACTTCCCTTTCGCGAACGTAATAACCGGGAATTACGTCCACTGCCGGCTGTTTCGGACCTCGTTCAGCGAGAAAATCCCTAGCTACCGACGACATTTCACTATGTAATACTATGTAACTCTCCACAGTTTTGCCTCGAGAGGGTCAATGACGAGTTGCACTTTCCGCATATATCTCCATTATTCTTTGTCCGAGCTGTGTTTTCACCGTGTTTCATGAGAATTAAATAAAACTGTTTTTTTTCTATACAAATCCA